CCCTCCTACCCTCTAGTCCTATATTTGAAGATCATTCTCTCTTCTGCCTCAGCTATTTCTCATTTTGGAAAGACAATCCTAGTTTCATAGAAACATTTCCTACCCTTTAATGATTTTAGGGGATGGTGATTCTTGGGGTTTCATCTTCCTTTTAGTCTAAGAGGCAAAGCTAGGCCCAGAGATTTAGCAAATATTTAATAGTTCCATAAGTGGAGTTGCCATATATGGGAGAAATGACTCAACCCTGGTGTCTAAAAGAGGCACATATGAAAAGCTATGCATGCACAGCTCAGAGATATTGCAGGTTCAGTTCCAGACCACCACAATAAAGTAAATACCGCAATAAAGTGAGTCACATTCATATTTTGGTTTTCCAGTGCATATAGAAGTTATGTTTATACTGTACTGTAGTCTGTTAACTGTGCAATAGCATTATGTCTAAAATAACAGTGTACATATATTAATAAAAATTTATTTTATAGCTAAATAAATGCTAATCGTCATCTGAGACTGTTAGAAAAATGTCACCAATAGATTTTCTCAACTCAGGGTTGCCACAAGCAACCTTCAATATGTAAAACACACAGTATCATCAAAGTGCCATAAAGTGAAGTGCAAAAAAATGAGGTATGCCTGCACTACATTATAGAAATAATACTCGCTCTCTCTTTTTTTAAATCTCCAAATGACTGCTTCTTTCCTGGGGTCTCTACATTTCCATCTCAACAGAAGATCACACAGGACCCTATCTGATCTTTCTCTCTGCAGTATACCTCCTGCCCCCTCAATGCCCAGGGATTTTCTGAAAATAAAAACAAAGCATTTAATTAATTTTTGCTTCTTTCCCACCTGGCTGGGAGCTGAAATCAAAGCACAGAAATGCAGCCAGGCTAGATTAGAACGTGATTTGCTTGGGTCCCTGTGGCCCCTCTGCCTCATGAGCTGGTTATCCAAGTCACCAGGAAGTGACCTGGTGGGGGGTGAGGGCCATTAGTGCGGCAGCCAAGCAGGGATCTGAGATGACCTTGGGGCTGGCCACCCCATCTTACATCTGCTTCTCTTGGCTGGGGGCCGTTCCCACCCAGCTTTGGGCTGCCAGACAGTGGGGAGCCCAGCGGTGTGGGCAGCAGCCTTAACGAGCTCCAGTCCCAGCCGGAAGCCATTTCAGAGGTGATGGGAGCTGGGGGCCTGGGGGTGGTAGCTGAGGTCCCCAGAAGGTCACAGAGATGGGATTTCTGTGGAACAGGGATGGGAATGTGCAGGCTGGGAGATTTCCTTAGTTGCGTGCAGGCCACGGAATGGTCCTTAAATGTTGGTAATCGTAGCCCGGGAGTTGACTTAAAGTTTCTTAAATTACAGTTTACATTCAATATTGTTTTGTACTAGGTGTACAGAATAGACTCATGTCAAATTTTGAGCAAATACTTCCCTCACCAACTTCCTACTGTTTGTCTTGGACATTTATCCAACTTTCACAGATCGTACCGAACTCTAGTTCTGTCCCCAGGTTCTAACCAGCCACCTACTTTGTTGTGCTCCAACCAACTTAAGAATCTTTCTCTGATAGAAGCAATCAGCTTTGGGCTCTAGCTGAATTGAAAATCACTGACTATATATATCCCTAGAGGCTGACATCACACTCTTGTAGAACCTAATTATACCCAGGTAGGGAATGCCATCACTTCCCCCATACAAACATGGCTACATTTTGTCCATTCTTATAAATTAACACACATGGATAAACATGAGCTGTCCCTAAATCTACGTTCCTAATCAGTTTGATTTTCATACAACAGGAATGTTATGTGATTTGCAAACAACAAATCATTCAACACATGCACTTATTTAATGTGCCAGCGACGCCAGAGGTACCACTGGATGCATCTTTGGAGTTTGTAACACTGAGTCTTAAAAAACCTACAAAACAGTTCTCATTGTGAAATGAGCAATATATAGTTGTCCAAGAAGTGGTTCTATAGTCCAGAAGGATATACACGGATACATAAGCCCCCACTTCCCTCTCCCTCACCCCCAACAGTAACTTACTGGCTCTCCAGGGGGTCCAGGGGGTCCAGGTGGTCCCTGCAAAAATACAAAGATATTTGTAAACTGTTTTCTTTATCCCAGGACCCAGATAACATCTGCTAGAAAGCCCTGGGAAAGCCATTCACTGTATATTTAGAGCACCATGTCGTATGTATAGAGGTTTCTGGTACATCTGTCTCAGCAGGCAGGAAGGGCTGGAGGGGAGAGGGCTGGGGTCAGGCTCAGTTCCCAGAATTTGCCGGCTGTCCACACACAGCTGTTTTGGGTTTGCTTTTCTGAGTTTAGACTTTTGATTTCATCCATGTCCTATTCATGTTTGCTCTGCTCCCATGCCAGGTCCCAGGCCCTGTCACCACAAAGATCGTTTCTCCTGACTTCCCCTGGGCAGGGTCCCCCACAGGCCACTGTCTAACACTTTTTGCTGGTAGGTCAGCAAATGTTCACAGGCAGACTTAATCTACAGGGTTGAAAAACCATCCACAAATATCACCATGGGTCTCTCTGCAAAGCATTCAGTGTCAACACTATACTTGCACTGAAGTTTTGAAAGTGCATGAAAAGAATAATTTGTGTCTAAGTGCAGAGAAGTGGGCAGGCGGGGGATTGTGGGTGATTTTAATGGCCACATGAAGAATTTAAAAGTTGTCAGGTCAGCTAAGGACCCAGCAGGTACAACCTGCTATTTCATATTTCCCTGAACTGTGTGTTTAAAGAATAACCTCCGTTCCCCCTCCCCAACCATGTGGTATGTGTGCTTTGAGTTAACAACCATATGACATAGGAGAACAAAGACCCTCTCATCATAGAATCCTCATTTCATACCATTTGGCCAAATATTTCATAGCAGAGGGCTACTTGCAAAAATGATTTTCACAGCCCCAGGGAAACTCATTTTATAGAAACAAAATCAATGATTATAGAAAATTAATGAGTACTCACACCCCCAACTACTAGTATGACTGAATCTTTCCGAGCATACATCCCTCCTTTGTTTCTCAGTATCTGTCAAGAAACTGATGCCACAGCCTCCCTTGAGAGTGTCCCTCCCACTTGAGCAATGGGCTTCTGTGAGAATTGTCTCACTACTAAAAACTATGGGGAATAAGAGTCAGAAACCCTGAAGGAGCCAGTTCGTCTCCTGGATCCTGTGTGGCATGATGGAAGTGGCGTTAGAGCTGCACAGGCACTAGCAACTCTTTCTCCTCTTCTCCCCTCCTTGTATCAAGCCCTCCTCCATGCAAGCCTCTGTCTTGCTGCACCTCACTCTGTCATCTGAGTTGCAGTGGGAGTGAATACCTGTAGACTGCCATTGATGTCCAATATTTCACTTGCTATAATGGCCATGCCTGGGTGTGACACACCTGCTATGGTGGCCATGCCTAGGCAGAACCCATTTCCTTCTTATCACCCTGTTGCACTTGGATCTGCTTTGCCCAGGGATGACGTGCCCCTTTTCAGCTGGTTTTGTGGGGCCGAGAGAGGTTGTACATGACTGGAATAGCACCCAGCCAGGAGCAAGTTTAAATCTGACATAGTTGGCAGTGATCTGGTGACCACAAATTTTGAGTCCTCATTCTTCAATCTTAATAGAAGCAAAATGTATACAAGGGATGACCTGTTTTGTCTTGATGCTTTTTATAGTGACCACAAGCATCCTAGTTGTATCGTGAAGCTTCCGCCTGTATCCACGTTGAAGAAGGGGCCTCGCTAGAGGATGCCTGGGTAGTGGTTCAAGAGTGAGCACGTGTACGTGGTACTTACTGGTCTTCCTGGAACTCCAAGTGGACCCATTGGTCCCATAGGCCCAGGGCGGCCGGGGGGCCCCTAAGGACAGGCAACAAGAGAAGGCTCTTAAGAGAAGTTGACTGGTATTTTGGAGTCCTGAATTCTTAAAGTTTTCTTGGAATATTTTCTAATAAAAATAAAACTTACCTGGAAACCGATCGATCCAGGATCTCCGGGTTCACCCTAAATGAGAAGAAATCATTTAAAGAGTTCTAGTTTTTAAGCTAATCTTTTTAGATTTAGTTACATTTTATTACAACATTGCAAACAAGTATATAAGTTATTGCAGCCGTATCAGGACCTGGTAATGTTAACTAACCTAGTACCTGAGGTACAGTGACTATGGGAAAGGGATGCATCCACAATTAAATATAAGATTGAAACAAGTTATTTTTGAATTGGTCACAATTTTGGATTATTTTATTCTATGCATTCTGCTACTCCATTCATTCTTACAGCTCCGAGTTCACTTGGACATTAATTTTATTAATCAGAATTTACACTAGGTCACTTAATCAGGTCTCCTACCTCTATTAAACTTACCCTGTATTTGTCGCGGTCCTTTTCGGACAGTGCATAAGGTTCACCTTTCTGGCCTTTGGGTCCGAGGGGCCCCTACAGGAGTACATATATGGTGGAAAGAGGAAAAGGCAAAAAAGTCCATTAACATGCAGAGCAGCTATAGTAATTTGGATGGTTAAATATTGACCTTTATGGGCAATATCTAACTGCTCTTACAGCTCATTTAGATTATTCTGAACACTAATCACTACATCCAACCATGAAGGTGAGACTTTTACTTTCATATTTATCCAACAGTATCTTTCTTCAAAGTTAAAATGGAAAGACATTATAGAATTTGTGTTTTTAAAGAACCCAAATGAGCACTCAGTAAACGAATCCTTTAGTAAACCATGCTATTTTTTGGGTACTATTACTTTGTGTTTTCTTTGGCATTAGTGTACTGAAGGTATTAACATGTACTCTGAAGCCCCATTTGTGGGAGAGATACTGGGTCACTCTTTAAAACAGAAACTGTGTCAAGTACACATGTGCATGTATAGGTACATGCATGCATGTCTTAACACCTACATATGAAATCAATATTTTTAAAGTAATCAATATGTTTGTTGATGAAAAAAGTTATTTTATTGGAATAGACTAGAAAATGATGTAGCTTATTGAAAAGTTGAAGTTGTAAAAGAAGAGTCAAAGAAGTGAGAATTGGAAAGCAGAGGTGTTGATGATGAGAAATTGATTAGCTCAGGGGGAAACAGGGGAAGGTTATTTATGACTGTTCTTCCCCACCTTAAAAATAAAATTTTTTTTTAACCAGATAAATCTTAGCATAACCCTGAATGTGCAGTATTTTGGTGGTAAGAGGGTAACACTACTGAAAAATATTTCAATATTCTTTGCAAAGACCTTGAAAACGAAATGAGGCCACGAAACAGATTAACATACAAAAGTTCTTCCATTAAAAAACAACACCCTTTCGTATTGGATATGCTGAAGAATATCATTGTCCTTCCACATCACAAAGGATTTTAGAATCAATCAAGATTTCTAATCATCTTGTGACTAATAATTTGTCAAACTTTTAGCTTTTTAGAATTTAAGTTTTCGTGTTGCCCTACAATTCAATGTTATTTGAATTGGAGCATGAATATGGAAAATAAAATTGTTTGAATCCAGGCAGATCATGCCTAGATATCCATAAGAAAACCTCCAAGAGAGCAATGCTTCCTCAGGGTATAAAAGACAGGGTTAGCGTGCACCTGCGGCCCCTACTGGTGAGTGAACAGAAGGCAACACACCATCCTTACAAAGTTTCTCTAAGACCATTTCTTAAGGGTCCTGTGCTAGGCCTTCCGGACGCCATGAAAGAGAATAGGGCACTTCCATACATTTCTGCCGACAGGTGCCAGCCATCCAGGTTCCAGAGCTAACCATGTGAACAGGGTGTGCTTGCTGATGATACTCACAGGAGATCCGGGGACACCCCCAATGCCAGAGGGTCCCTGGGGGCCTACGTCTCCCCTGGTCCCATTGCAGCCATCATAGCCAGGTGGTCCTCGGGGTCCACCTTGCCCAGGATGTCCCTGGAAAAGAGGAAAGGAAGTGAGTCGTTCAGCCCAGAGGTGTTTAGTTTTCATAACTGTGTGTGATAAAACAGTTTTAAATCGTCTCTCTCATGCCACTGGCATGAATCCAAGGGACAACAGCTGGAAATGAATGAATGAATGAATAAGTAGACAAAGGCACACGGGTAGAGTTCTAAGCAGGGGAAAAGGCATTCAAGACAAAGTTCTGTTTCCCAAAGGTTTTGGTGAGCAGTAAACCGTCTTGGCATTTCTCCTCCTTGCTTCACTGGGTGCCTGGGAGCACTGTTTTGTCAGGGACAGGATTTTAAAATTCTAGAAAAAAGTTCTAGAAGCAGTGATCTCCTTCTCAGGGACAACAAAGGTGTCTTCATCTGTTATGGCCGACTGACTTTTGGACTTACATCCTAAACAGGTAAGAGAGTCATACCTACAGTGGGATTTCATCAGTGGCTTAGCCATAGGTAGACGAACTGATTTCCTCTTTCTACATTCTTTGGAAACACTCCTTTTAAGATTTTAAAGCAAGTCAGGTGTTCTAAGATGGCTGGTGGGAGAGGGGAGGCAACATGATCAAATGTCTTTCGAAGGAGTAGGTCGGGTGAAGTCTGTGGGCACCTCAATAGCACTCACCTGGCTCTGGGAGACATCCGGGGGTGGGGTTAACTATAATTTATGTCCTACGAGACTACAGGTCTTCTTTGCACAAAAGATGTTTAGATATATGCTTTCTTATTATGTAATTTCTTTTTTTTTAAATATATTTTTATTGGGGAGAGGGAGAGATAGAAACATCAATGATGAGAGAGAATCATTGATCAGCTGCCTCCTGCACGCCTCCTACTGGGGATCGAGCCCGCAACCCAGGCATATGTCCTTGACCAGAATCAAACCGGAGACCCTTCAGTCCACAGGCCAACACTCTATCCACTGAGCCAAGCCGGCTAGGGCATTTATGTAATTTCTTTAAAATTTTTATTTTCTTAAGAGCAGGCCTAACATGGAGTCCAGAGTAATTTTTGAGGGCGTTTAAGATGTCTTTTAGATTTACTTTGAGAAATTTGGAAAATTTCAAGACAAATGAACCAGTTCTACGCCGAGTGCGTGTATTCTGAATGATACTAAGGAATACAGCAAGAAAAGTAGAATTTTTCTTTTGTCTGCATACCTTTCTGCTTGAGATGTTCAAAGCCATTGCTTTAACTTGCGCCATCAGAAAAGAGATCTGATAGCCCTTTCAGCCAACCCCGGGGGGCTCAGGGGAATCCTGATGGCTTCTGGAAACCATGGTGAACAATCTCTCCAGCTGTGACAGAGCCAGCTGTCTGAGGCCTTCAAAGGAAAGGACCCTTTTTGGGGGGTTTCTGAAAGCTGACCCTTCAAATCTAGCCAGAGAAACACGCTCTGCAGGGGTTCTGCCGAAGATCCGTGGTATCCTAGGATGTTTTTGCTTCAAATGAACATCTGAGTTCCTTAGTCTTCTCCTGAATTATCTATCGCTGTTGGGGCTTTCTGATTCCCTTAGGACTGATTTGAAATTGCATGTCAATCTGATCTTCTTTGGAAATTGTGCTTCGAGGAAAAAAATCTCAGTTATATTGAGCTTAATGTCCATCTCTTTTTGTTATCTGATTAGATACATTTCTGTGTGTACAACTCTACGATTTCCCTGCACATCACTTTTTCTACACAACTTCTAAACAGCTAAAATTACCCAGGTCCTTCAAACGCTATGCTCATTAACTGCGTAGAGGTGGCAGGTGATATTTAATATGCAGTGTCAGGGTTCTGTGGTTAGAGAGACTATATATGGCAGCACCAATATTCTGTAGAAAATGATCAGTTATCTGCTCATCATGATCACGCTCCCTTACGATGATTACTCCCTTATTTGTGAAATATTTGCATCTGATATTCAATGAGTATGAAGTGCAGAAATGAATTAAAATATGATACAGATTAGTTACAATATTTTCCCATAATGTCACTCAGATTTAAATCAGATTTCAACTTCCAGAAGCAAAAAATGATGAACAGCTTAAATAGTTCAAGAAAGTAGTTTAAAGACGGGTGGGAAAAAAAAGAAAAAAAAAGATGGGCGATTTAGTTTGCGGCCGTTGGTAGAAAAATACTTTTATTATTTGTTTAACCCTTGAAATCTGCAGATTCTTCGACTGTGCCAATTTCTCAAGATCCTGACCAATGTGAATGCTATTTCCTTATTTGTTCACAGCTGCATGTTTTGTAACTGACGTATCTGAGTGCCTCATTCAGGTGACACTTAGGATCACTGGCCATGTAGGTCTCATGTCTTGGTGATCACAACTTCTCTCTCTCTCTCTTTTTTTTTTTTTAGCTCTGACTGCTTCCTTCTACTGTGGCAAAAGTGTTCTTGAATGCAGAGCTAAAATCTGAAGGAAAGGTATGAATTCTCTGTGATGACTCTCCACTCAGGCTCTTCCTCTATTTCTGCAAGGGGACAGCCCTACTTGTGCAGCCTGAAGATTGTCTCTCCCTGTGTGTGCACATATGTGCACATGCATGCATGTGTGTGTGCGTGTGCGTGTGTGAGCACGGTGATAAAGAACATGTATATGCAGGGGAAGGGTGCAGACATCTGTGCATATGGGTGAGGGTCCTTAAATGTCAGCAGCAGACAGATGGGGTGGGTCTGCATGTGTGATAAACACATTTATCCCCGAGAAGGAGATCGGCAGGAAGCCGGCCCTGGGAACTCTGCTCCCGGGCCCCTGTGAAGAAGGCTGTGAGTCAGGCTGCTTTGTTTATTTTTTTATGCCACAAGAAGTAAAGTAAACTAGGTTAGAAAAACACATTTTATGGCATTTTGAGATTTTCTCATGGATAATCCATGCCTCCTCTTCTCGTTTACGTGTGGTTACTACGAAGAATCTGAGAAGCTGCACAAATGTCCAGCAGGGCTTCATCCCGTCCACGTTCCTGGCTGTGCTACTTTATATTCAGGCTGTTCTGTGGTTCAAACACAATTTCGAGACCGGCTCCTTAGCGAGCACATCTGAGCGATGCTCTAGCTTTTCCTTACATAACACTGTCCGGTTCTAGCAACGTCTCCTCCATTCTGAAGCCAAGTCCAGGAGAACGTTTACAAGGGAAAAAGTCTGTCCAACATTTGACTGGATTCCGGGAGAAAAAGACCCACATGTAGCCCCACAAATTTTATGTGATGAACAAAAAAAGCAGGTTTAGCTCAAGATATTGCTGTTAAGTCATAAACGTGTTGGTTCCCATGCATACAATGTTTTAAAATTCTAATCTTACAAAAAACTTACAGGAATTCCGTCAGCACCAGGGAATCCAGAAACGCCTCTTTGTCCCTATAAAGAAGGTAAACAAATTTAATGAAGGTCAACACACCCGCTGCCCTCCATAAAACGAGAGGAAATACCAAGTTTTCCGTACCACTTCTCCTTTCGGTCCTATGCTCCCGGGAGAGCCTCTTTCACCCTTGTCACCTTTGCGGCCCTGCAGTCCTGGGAATCCTTGTAACCCGGGGGGCCCAGTGTATCCCTGGTGGCCCACTTGCCCGGGCTGACCCTGTAGAAACAACATACATTCAATTTCCACAGTTAATAGCAATGAATGAGCACTTTCAGTCACGTTGCTTTGGAAACTATGCTTTTCATTCTCAAAGAGCAATGATCTTCAGAGAACATTATATGTAAACTACCATCTGCTGCCACTGGAGCCCCAAAGTGATTTCTGGCAAAAAAAGAATCCACAGAGCTTAAAGTAAAATGGCATTAAATGTAAAGAGAAAATAATCCTAATTTACAAAAGTGATGCTACTGTGAAATGATGATACTATTGCACTGGAGACAGTCAACTTACTTGTTTTTCGTTTTGTTTTTTTTAAGTCCTTTCAGCACATAAAAAAAAGTTCCAAACAAATTTCTAAGATTTTAATCTCTACCCCAATATAATGCATACAACAGATATGGGATGATATTCAAAAGAATTGAAAGCAGAGACTTGAACAGATATTTCTAGAGCATTTTTCACAATAGCCAAAAGTGTCCCATCGAGAGATGAGTGGATAAACTAAATGTGGTCCATCCATATGATGGAATACTATTCACCTTACAAAGAAAGGACATTCTGACACACATGACAACATGGATGAACCTTGAGGACATCATGCTAAGTGAATCAGCCAGTCCCAAAAGGACAAATACTGTGTGATTCCACTTCTATGAGGTTCCTAGAGCAGCTGAATTCATAGAGACAGAAAGGGCATGGGGAGAGGAGAAGGGGAGTCGTTGTTTAGTGGGTGCAGAGTTTCCGTGGGGAAGATGAGAAAGATCTGGAGATGGGAAGTGGTGATGTTTGCACAACACTGTGAATGAACTTAATGCAACTGAACTGTGTGAAAATGGTTATGATGGTAAATTTTATGTTTTGCATGTTTTACCACAAGAAAAGTAAAAGATTAAAAAGGGGCTTCTATCTCTCTGATTAAGGGAACTAAGTTATGTATTATAGTTAATGTTCTAATGAACCCTCCCAGGTTCACTTAAATGAAAAATAAAGTTCTATGTCTTGATTTCCTCTTTCAATGAACAAGTCTGCTGTTTACTCACCATAAAGAACCTTTACCTGCTAAGCCCAATTTGCTTTCACATTTCAAATTCCCATCTGCCTTTAGATCAGTGGTTCCCAACCTTCCTAATGCTGTGACCCTTTAGTACAGTTCCTCATGTTGTGGTGACCCCCAACCATAAAATTATTTTTGTTGCTACTTCCTAACTGTAATTTTGCTACTGTTATGAATCGTAATGTAAATATCTGATATGCAGGATGTATTTTCATTGTTACAAATTGAACATAATTAAAGCATAGTGATTAATCACAAAAACAATATGTAATTATATATGTGTTTTCTGATGGTCTTAGGCGACCCCTGTGAAAGGGTCGTTCTTCTCCTAAAGGGGTCTCAACCCACAGGTTGAGAACCGCTGCTTTAGATGGAGGGGGGACTGAGCCATTACTTTTAGTCTTCTCTTCCACTGCCTACAAGAAACTCTTCCTATATAAACGGTGCAGCTAAAGAGTTTGTTAGTCATTACAGAATGTTTACAGTCTGTCTGCAACATTCCACACAGCTGAGGTGAAGCAAACAACTTCAAAATGCAGGCCAAGCCGCAGCATTAATGTCACAGACAGACTGGTGTAGAGGTTGCTTCGGGGTGGAAGCAACTGATGGAAATTAAGGTTTCAGCTGGTGAATGAGATCTCTCCCCAAGCTCAGGACCCCTGACTCCTCAGACAAAGGGGACTTGCAGGAATCTCCATGGGCAAGGTCAGAGTTTGAGAGATACTGAGTTCTCCTGCCCCACCCTCCACATGTTCCAGAAGAGTCCAGTCAGCGCAGAAAGCATCAGTCACTGAGGGTAGTATCTTATGTTGTGGCAAAGCCAATATATTTAATATCTTTGAAGAATGTGATTAAAAATAAGGCTTCCTAATTGAGGGAGATTGTGGTCAAAGACAGACAGCTCTGACCTTGGACACGTGATACCCCAGGCTCATGCTCGTCGATTTCCAGTCAGGGGTGTTAGTATGCTACATCTGCTGTAAGTTTGGGGACAAAATATGCTTTGATTCTGGTTTTTATGACACTTTCCCAGTTGTGCTCATTTCTGTTTTGTTTGTGGCTCTGTCAGGATATAGCCTTCCTGTGATCATATACCATGCCCCTAAGCCTGACGTTCCCTAAGCATCATGAGGCTTGTCAGTGTTTACAGGGAGTGTCCTTTGGGGGATAAAATGTTCCTCATTAGTACTGTCATTTTTTTCTGCCCATAAACTTTATCTCTATCCAGGGGATTACTGTATGGAGCCCACTAAGGGGAACATGCACTGCTCATCAAAATGGAATGTGTGTCTTAACGATGAAAAGCCACATGCTTGTCTTGCACTCATTAACCTTTCCTCAATTTTCTTTGATGAGGAAAGTGACTACATCATGTACTCATTTTCCTTCCATTGTCAGTAAACTTCTTTATACCCATAAAGTCTTGGATGGGAAGTCTGACTTTTGGAATAAAGCTCTAATCTTCCCTTTTCTGGAGCAAGTTGTCAATTATTTCTTTTTATTGAGGTGAAATTCCCATAATGTAAAATTAATCATTTTACAGCGGTTTCTAGTACATTCACAATGTCCTCTATCTAGTTCCAAAACATTTTCATCATCCTGGAAGGAAGCCTCATGCCCACTAAGCAGTCACTCCCTGTTCCTCCCCACCCCAGTTTCTGGTAACCACAAATCTGCTTTTGGTTTTTTATCCATTCTTGATATGTCTATATATAAAAGCCCAAGCGACCAGTTAACTGGTTGCTATGACATGCACTGACCACCAGGGGGCAGACCCTCAATGCAGGAGCTGCCCCCAATGGTCAGTGTGCTCCCACAATGGGAGTGCAGCTCAGCTGACCGATGGGTGCAAGATGCTGGGCTCACGGCTGGCAAGCGCCGCTGTGGTGGTGCGAGCCTCTCCCGATTGGGACTGACTGGGTGCAAGCCCGCGGCAGGCATAGTGGGCCAGAATGAGCGGGAGTGGTGTGGCACAGGCCCCGGCTCAGGCTCCTCCCCAGCCACCTCCTGTGGCCCGATCCCCACAGGCCATGCAGAGGGACCCCACCGGTGCACGAATCCATGCACCAGGCCTCTAGTTTCATACAAGTGAAATCACATGTATGCTATATGACCATTTTTGTCTGGCTTCTTTCACTTATACTTTTTTCGAGGTTCATCCATGCATGATCATATATCAGTACTTTATTCATTTTTTTTCTTTATTGGTTAAGGTATTACATATGTGTCCTTAACCCCCATTTACCCCCGCGCCCCCAACCCACTCGTGCCCTCATCCCCTTGGCTGAATTATATTCCATTGCATGGATAGACCACAATTTGTTTGTTGTAAATAGTCCTATAAACATGCATGCACAAGTATCTGTCTGAGTCCTTGTTTTCAATTCTTTTGGGTACGTCCGTAGAAGTGGAATTGCTGAATCCTATGGCAATTCTATGTCTATCTCTCGAAGAAACTGCCATACTGTTTTTCACAGTGGCTGCACCATTTTACATTCCCACCAACAGGGTGTGAGAGTGCCAGATTTCTCCACATCCCTGTTGAAGATTGTTATTTTCCATTAAAAAAAATTTATAGCCATCTTAGTGGGTGTGAAGTTGGTGTCATTCTATAGAGACATCTTGAGCTTCTGACAGAGGGAACATTTCACAGAATTCCACCCAGCTTCCGGCCTGGAGAAGGGCCAGGAAGAGTCTGGAGAGAATCCGCAGTAGAGCCCCGTCCTCTGGGACTGAACTCAGTCTTGCCACAGTTCAAGCCTTACGTTGCTGGGACTTAGGGAACATCTTTGTCACGACCCAATGGCCTTCTAATGCATGTTTCGGCCATTAGGGACAGAGATCTTTCCCAAGGATATCCTGCCCATGCTGACGTCGTGTGTATTTGTCAAGAGCAGTTGCAATGGTCAGGTAAATAAAGAGGATTTCCCTCTGTGCTAATTAGTCATCATCATTAGCAACTTCCACCCTCAGTTGAAAAGTCCCAATTGGAAAAGTTATTTCCATCTCTTCCTTTTCTTTTGTAATAAGTGATGTAAAAATAAAAATTAGCCCAGAAAGAATAGGACTCTAGTTTAAATGTTTTTTGCATAAGTTTCAAAATCTCCTGGGTGACCAACGCTCCTAAAATTCCTGCACTATACTCAACAAAAGAATTTGCACAAAAGAATTTCTTGAAAGCCAACGGACCATAGACTATGCCTCTTCCCACCAGAGAATTTGATTTGTGTGAATGTGTTACTTCCTAGGAAACAGGATAATGAAAAGTAGCATGTACTTGTGTGTCCTCTGGGATGAAGCACTGTTACAGCTCTTAAAAATGGTTCCTCTTCTAATGGCCTTCTGAGGTGGTTCTAATAAAACATGCTATTTTTTTTTAAATGGTTCATCTCATGTCATTCCCATGACAAATGCATAAAGTAGGCATCTCCCTCACTTGTGAGAGGAGGGACAATGGGGGCTTGGGAAGGTTCGGGACGAAGAACTGACTGTTACGCCATCAGGTCTGGGGAGTGAGGCTGCCTCTGAAGCCCCCCATCTTCCATTGGACCTTCTTACTCAAGTGAGGTCCGTGAGCTGTGCCAGCCGCCTGGGACCCTGAGGGAAATGCAGTCTCAGGCCCGGCCCAGACCTCCTGGCCTGCACTGGACATGACCCTTAGCAGGTTTCTTAAGTGTACTGAAGTTTGAGAATCATGGCATGGCCCCATCCTCCTTCCCTTTCTGATGTTCTCATAGGAGGATCAGGTATCTTTGTTATTATTATTTTAATTTTTTCCCTTTTTGTTAAGTTTATTGGGGTGACACTGGTTAAGAAAGTGATACAGGTTTTAGGCGCACAGTTCTACAATACATCATCTGGACACTATTCAGCAAGACTCTGTCCATCACCACTTATCTCCCCTACATCCTCCTCCACCTCCCCATATCCGACAGGTATCTTT